GTCCCGAATTTAATACTCAATGGAGTGAGTTGGATCCCAGTTTACTCCAAGTCCCCCAGCCCCCTGCCCCGGACCCTCGGGGTAAAAAAAGGACATGTATGAAAATCTTGAAACTTCTATGTATGTATAGTCATTTTTTGGTATTTGTGCTCATGGTCATTCCTTGATCACTATATGTTCATTGTATGATGGTAATTATTTCACTACATATGTTCAACAATTGGGTTTTGATAATTTTTGTTTGATAATTGTTTGATCATTGTGTAGTAATATAATTCTATGGTAATTATATGATAAATGTATGAATAAAAGATTTGTTAAGCATGGAAGAGGTAATATCTATCGAAATGATGTGCCATTACTATAATAGCTTGTCTAACCATTTTTTATTGGTATGGGAAGCACGGATCTAGCTAAAATAGGGGTAATGGATAATTGAAATAATGACTGGGATATTACTCCGATCCTAGAGTTTTAATGGACAAATATATGACCACAATTAAAATAGAACAAAAAAGTGACTAATTAATAATAAATGAATTAGAATACACCCAATAAATCAAACTCTAACTCCATTCTACTTTATGTATCTCGATGACTAAGCTAGCCCCTCCGTCATCAGTTACGCACATCATTTCTAGGGAGCTTCAGATCTGTTGGCGTCGGCCTATATTCGCCATTGCCACGCACATCTCCGGTCGCTGCCTATTTCCACACCCCTTCTCATCTTCTTCTCTTTCTGATGCGGATTGAGATTGTCAGCGACAAAACCAACGGCTATGAAGACAACGGGCGTTGATGACGAATAAGGCTAGGGAGTAATGGCCCAATTTTCAGCATATGTGGCTAGGATGTGGCGGTTGCAGGGGTGAGAGTGGGGTGCGGGTAGTGGGGTAGTGGTTGCAGGGCGAGAGAAGGGGTGGAAGGCTATGGAGGTTGTTGGGGAATGGCGAGGGGGCTGGGGGTAGGCTAGAGAAGGTAGTTGGGGCTGGTGAGGCGGGGCAGACAGTGGTCATTGGATTTTGTGGCGAGCGAGGCAGTGGTCATTGGCGGGTGTTGGTTGGTCAATGACGACAGGTCACTGCGGTGGAGTCACTGGCGATAGTGCAATAGAGGGTAATCACTAATGCAGTCCAATCATTGGCGATATAGACATAGAACATAGTCACTAAAGCGGTTCAGTCATACCGGATGTAGTTACCTAGTGGTTAGTCACTAATATGGTACAATAACTAATGACAGAGGCGGTGTTAGAGTGGCGGCACTGACTTGTTGGGGGGTGGCTGGACAACAGTGACTAATTAATTATAAAAAAGGAATGTTATTGTAATAAATAGAATATTAAATAAAAAGGCATAACTGATATGGTAAGTCACATTTTTGGAAAACTTTAAAAGAGGCAATATTCTTGTCTTTCACATTTAATTTAGTAATATTGATAAAATAAGGCCTAGATTTTTTTTACTCCAGGGGGCCTTGAGTAATCAGGGCTGAAATTTACTCCATTGAGTTTCAGACCCTTATGTGCCTAGCGGGTTTCGAACCCTTATATTGTCGGGATACAACGACGACATCTGAGTCGACTCACATGAGATAAATTAAAATAGTGGATATCCATTCACCCTTAAAAGTGGTGAAATGATGTTTGAGAATGGAATTATCTTCATTAATTTTGTGAAGTCAGATGGAATTAGCTACTCCTTTGACAGAATCCCTAGGACGAAAAATTGATAACCGAAACATCGAAGGAAATGGGACTAGTGTCACTTTGAAACAAATGGGGATGGGAACCTAACTTGTGTGATTGGAGATCCCATGAAGCAAGTTCATATGGGTAATAACAAGTCTTCCATTTAGTTCTGCTAGCCTAACTAAAATTGCTCATTTCCATGATGTGAGATATAAGCTAGAAACCGCATTCTTTGAGAGGGTGAGCTAAAAGCTCTTAATGATTATCATAGCCCTTAATTTTAGGGTGGTGTGCAAAAGCGGTACACCCATGATGATGTCACCTATATGAGTGTGAGGTGGGACCGCCTCTATGAAGCATGACAAAACTTCTAGAGCACTCATTAACACCAAGCACGCGCATGGCCTTACGGCGCACAACGGCGTAATAACGAGAAATTGTGCAGGGTGAGACACGACCGTTAAGACCCTGATTTACCAATAGTAGCTTGTTGGTTCATAGAAACTATATGTTTCACCAAAAGCTCGGTTTATTAAGACTTAATCGTCTCAGTTTGGTTCATAGTGAACGGACACCAAGCTTAAAGTCTCATTCCTTTAATCCAGCAGAAATTTTCTAAACTATATTTTTAACATCTAAAATATTCATTTGAAATATGTGGGGGATTGTTGGAAAAATTGAGAGTATTTCAAATGAATAAATTATCTCTTATTATCTAATAATATTACTTTATAAATAATATTAAAAATTATTTTTAATATTCATTGTGTTCTTCTAAATAATAACTGATACTAGTTGTGGCTTTTATTATTATTTAAAGTGTACTACGGCCTCCATGAGTGACGGTTTCTTGATCATAATAATGAGCTGCCACGAAGCCTTGAGGACAACGTTTACGCGACTCGAGCTATATTATTTTCTACCCTTTTTTGCAGGTTTAATGGCCATTTCCACCAACAATGTTGACCAATTGTTCAATGAGAAGAGTCCAAGAGAGGAAGAAATCATGCAAGGAAGCTCAAAAACCAAGAAGGGGTCGCCTATGTGGCCACTTTTGATGAAAATGGACGATGCATAAAGACACATGTTCATATTTTGATCATAACTTGGCGCATGACTGCCCAACGTTTGTGATACCAGTTGCATTACATTGACATCTTCTTGCTCTACAACTCTTATGAAGAACACATAACCAAATAACAATCTTAGAATGGCCATATTTCTCAAAGAAGTCAGACATTTGCAGTTGTGATGGAAAGTGACACGTGCTCACCGTTTTGGTCATATCTCATAAACTAAAAATCCAATGCATGTAATTCAAATTCCAGTAGTTATCCAAGAAAGAGATCTACAACTTTGGTGAAGACATCTTTTATATTTTACGTAAGACGGTAGACAAGGCGGCCGTCTTTCTGGGCGCCCACGAGTTTTCGACAGTTTCAGCACACCACACTTTGCATGGCGACAAAATGATGGAAGGCTGCCGACGGGGGACGTAGGGCGGCCGCCCTCCGTGGCCGCCTGCGGAGGGATGTGATTTTTGATCTACCGGTCGATGAGACAAGACGAGAGGCGGCCAAAAGGGCGCCCGCCCTCCGGCCATGGCCGGCAGCCTTAGGTCACTTCCCCGACAAAGCTACGTGTACGCGTCAAATCCGCAGCAGGTGGCCATGGAGGGCGACCGCCCTTTTGGCCGCCTCTCGTCTTGTCTCATCGACCGGTAGATCAAAAATCATATCCCTCCGCAGGCGGCCACGGAGGGCGGCCGCCCTTCTGTCCGCCTTCCACGAAACTCCGGATATAAAATCCCTCTTCCATCCCCAACTCAAAACACACCATCTCACACCCAACTCAGATAAAAAGGGTGTCTTCTTCCTCCTCAAAGTTCAGATTTTCACCATTATTGGACCTTCAACTTCAATCTTTCATATCTTTCTCATTTTAGCTCCAATTTGTAAGTTCTTTATATGAAAATTCATCTTCTCGTCATGTAGATTCTGAATATTTTGTTTTTATTTTCCAAATGTTAGTGAAACATTCTCCGCATTAATTTAAGAATTTCGTATTTTCCATATTTATTCAAGAAAAATAGTTCTTGTTGTTATATTAATCTCCTACTTAGATAAACTCAATACCTAGTATAAATGATGTTTATTTGTGATAGAAACAAAAGTTTAGATGTTGGGAGTATTCACTTTAATATTTTATTTTGTTGTTATGATTTATGATCATGTCTTATTTTATATGTAAAATGTTAAAACTAGTAATGAGTTGTTGTAGTTAATTTACTCTTGGGCATGAGTTGAATTTAAGAATATGGGTTGACCTTGTTTGACCGAAAATTAGGAGTTTAACTAATTTTATGGATTAGTTGTTTAAAATGATTAATTTGATTACTTCAATAGATTTGGTCATTTCATTAATTAAACTTTAATTTGGAAGATTATTTATAACTTGTCTATGAAATTATAAATAGTTTAAGCCAAACATATTGAGCACATTAATGAAGCCTAGAGATAAGATAAATTGTTTAATATGAGAAATATGATTAATTAATGAAGTTGACCATTTTGTTAGCTAAAATGTGGAAAGTTATATCTATCTTGTCTATGAGATTAGAATATAATTTAGACCAACTTTTTTAAACACATTAATGAAGCCTAGAAATAGGATAAATTAGTGAAAGTAACTTAAATCTTGTCAATGAGAAAAGAAATTACTAGTCCAATCTTTAGTTACTCCTAATTATTAGGTCCAAACTAAAAGGATGTACCCATATTTTATAATTCAATTCATTGCCCTTCTTTGATCAATCCATTTAGAGTTTAATATTATATTTTTCATTTAGTTTATTTTTGAGCCATTATTAGTATTTTGCATAATTTAATTTACTTTCTTTTTCAAAAGTTAGTTTATAAAATCAATCAAAAGTTTTAATTTGAAAAGCTTCCAATAATTTGCAATAACCTGTGACTGGACTTAAAATCAAGAAACTCTTCCATCATTCCTCAAGAGACACAATACTCGGGGGAAAACCGAAAAGTTAGACTCCGTTTTACTACAACGCCGCATAAGCGGTTATCAATAATCTCATTGTTTTGGGCTCGGATAATTTCGTGCCAACTTGGCTCGGATAATGCCGTCACAATAGACCCCCGGTGGGATTTTGAATTCAAAATTTTGGCATGGAATATTCAAAGCCGAGCCAAATGAAAACTACTAAAAAACAAATACCGTACAGGTGTACGTTAAACTGTACACATGTACGGTATATGTTTTTTATAACAAGAAAAAGCTAAATTAAAAGAAATCAATACAATGAACAAATTAACACCAAAGCATGTCAAACAAGAATACCAAATAAACAAGTACATTGTTAATCAGGGTAAAAAGCACCCCAATAAAGTGGTCCAGACTGAACAAAAATCAATCACAAAAACCCAAAAAATAGTTCATCACAAGGGATGTCCAAAAAACATTAGATACAAGTCCAGAAAGCTTTAAAAACTGAAATTCACAACCTAGCCTCCACAACGCCATTGCCACCCATCTCATCGAAAATGTTGTCCATCCTGACTTCATTGGAATCTCCATTCAGGACGTTCATCCGCACCGGCGTCGGAGTTCGAAAGCTATGAAAGTCGAGCAATGGGATCAACGGGTTACTGCTGCGTACTTGCTCCATAAATGCCATAAAGGCTCCAGACATACTGGCCATTTGAGGGGCCATTTGAGCTTGAACTTCCTGCTGGTGTCGTGCGAAGCGAGCCTCAACCTCCTCCCGAATGCGCCTATCTATCTTCTCTTGAGTTGGCCCTCGGCTCGGGCCGTCAACGCTTTCTAGCGATTCAGCCTCTGACCCGGTCCCATACCGGCGCCCTCTATACTTCGACACAACCTTGCAAAACAGCTCAGTGTCTTCTTCATCATAAGACTTTCCTTCAGACTCCGCAATGGCTTTCATTTCATTGTATTTGTTCTGCCAAAACAAAAGATTATGTTCTACATCCGAAAAAAGCTATTTCAAAATATAAAGATTTATAAATAAACACACCCGGGTTTCAACTACACGAGCAGGGGGGTCACCAATCTTCGGCACATACAGATAGTTTTTGGCACGGATTTTCGCGCAGTTTTGTCTCGGAAATATAACGGCTACTTGTTGACTCAACATTTGGCTCGGAAAAACATCAAATGAAGCAACAAATAGTTTTTGGCACGGATTTTGTCTCGGTTTTGGCTCGGATTATTAACGGTTACTTGTTGACTCAACATTTGGCTCGGGAAAAAAATCGACGCTTTCAACGGCCACTTATTTGGCACGGAATTTGGCTCGATATTGTCGCGGAAACGCAACGTCCATTTTTTTAATAAATGGCTAGGATTTTGGCTCGGTTAGCTTTTGGCTAGGAATATTCCGAGTCAAACCAAAATTAATGTGTTATTGATTTTGGCACGGAATTATCTCCGAGGCAAATTGTGACAGATTTTGGGACGGAAGACCCCGGCGGTCAACTTCTTTTCTAATTTTTCGAATTTGGCTCGGAATTTGTCTCGGAAAATTAAAATCCCCGTTTTGGCTAGGTTTTTTCCGAGCCAAAGCCGTCATAGTAATGCGCTTCAACGTTTTTTGAGCCAAAATCCGAGCCAAACCTGGTTGGACATTTTCCGAGCTAAATTTCTGTGCCTATACCGAAGTTTTTGGGTAGTGTGGGTTGTATGAAAAAAGTAAATTGATAGAGTTAATACACAAGTTTCGTTTAAATCGAATGAGAATTTAGTTTCTCTATGGAGTACGATTGCATGTAGAATATATTCCTTCTTTTCAATAAAACTTGACCAAATTGTTGTTGTAGTTTTCTAAACATCTTTATCATTTCCATTTAAAATTATAAATATGTAACTAAAATAGTTTTCTCTCTTCTACACAAATCTCAATCACACAACTTTTACTTTATTATTCTATGTGCAAATCAAATCTGAATAACTTTTGTGGGATAGAGCGCGTATTATTGAGTTTGTGCATCACACATTCACACATGTGAGTTGCTAGTAAGGCGCAAAAGCAAAAAAAAAGGTACTTCGTCGTTTAGACCCTAGTTCGTTAAATGTTGTACACTTGTACATGAATTAAACAAAATTCAATACATACACCTTTTATTCGATAACGTGAATGAAAAATGATAAAAAATTTGTTGTAAAAAGTGTTGACTTTTAAAAAACGTAATTGTATAATGCAGTATCCGTTACAAAAATTCATTGAAAATATGGGTCTTATTTCAAACATTTATATTATATATATACATCACAAAACAACATTTAGTAAAAAGAAATAAAACCATACACATAATCAAGTAGCAGATCTCATTACTACATCAAAAAATAATTCGTAATTGCATAAGTTGATGACAAAAATAGAAATAGTAATTAAGTCCAAGACACAATTGTGCAAAATAATATCAAAAAACAACGTATAATAATGATAAAATGAGACCAAATTACATCATCATTTTATCAAATAACACTCATGTTAAATTCATCATTCTCATCAATATGACATAGACGTAAGCAAAAGTTGTCCAACTGCTACTATTATTGTTTATGGGCAGAAGTTTATGGTAGAAAAACCCTTAATTTAAAAAAAATCTTAATTTTGAAATCTAGTACAAAGTAGTATTTTAAGTTTTAGTTTTTTAGGATGCTTGTTTTAGTTACCATACATTTAATTTTAATATTTAATAATTGTATATTTTGCATTGTAACAACAAGAGAGTTTTCCTTTTTGCACATAAACTATTGTTTATTACATTTATTCAATTGATTAATTCATGTTTCTATTCTTTTTTATAAAAAACAAGAAATGTAAGTTTTATTCCTTTTTTTTTGTAGAGTACCGAGTACGAGGAGCTGAAGTTTTTTCCTTTAAACGGATCGATCTTTTTTTTTTTGTTTTAAACATGTTTTTATACAAAAACACGGTACATTTTTAAATTGCAAAAATCTAATTAGGGTTTAGACCTACTTCGAAATTATTTTTGTTGAACCAAGTCTTAACAAATCAACATACCAATATAGCAAAAGTTTTAAGGAACCATATATGACTCCCTTATATATGGAGTATTGTAGCGTAAATTATATGGTACAACCAGTTGTACCATGGGCACGCTACAACCAGGTATTTTAGTTTATACTTAATGACTGTATAGTTTAAATAAAATGAGTATTAGTATTAAATTATAAAATTAGCACGATAAATATTTTTTATGACAATTCAATGATAATATAGTTAAATGAATAAGTTGATTTGTAGCATTTATATCACATGGAGATCATAATACTCTATTGCACATTTATGTACTCAATTGTGCTACTAAAACAATGATTTTATACTAATGCTCATTTCTTTTAACTTTATACTCATTAGGTATAATAAGATAAAATAGCCGATTGTACGATGAGCGTCGTACAACCGGATGTACTGTATACGTGCTCGTATTGCAGTACCATTTCCCCCACTTATTTTTTAGTTGACCTCCACTAATAATTTGAATGGTGGTGATGCGAACACATGTCACTCCGAGTCACATGTGGTTCCAAAATTAAAACTACTCCAAAATTTAGTCCGTTGTTATACCAATATCCTATACGGAATATGAAGTTTTGTATGCTAAAATTGAACCAAGTGACTAAGGTTCGAAACTCGCAGCGGCCGTGTGGAGGTTACAGAACCTGAAATAAGGCTGGACCTCTGATGCGCACGTGTATAAGACCTACCGCCGCTTTGCTGATTGAGTCACCGTGATTAACTCCCCCACTATCCTGTCGGGTCGGGGTGGGGGCTCCTGGGGTGGGAGATTCCACCTTTTGGACCAAGCTAAAATTGAAATACCAAACTTCTTATTAGTGTACCATAATTTAGTCCGTTCATAAACAATTATGAGTGGATGTTAAAAAAATTAGTTTGATCTCGCTATGAATTTTACATAAAACTAAAATGTCGTTGTAATAATGGTATGGATTTAAATGTTCATATACTACATAATCAAATCTATCACTGACCAATGTCATTTACATTCACAAACAAGAAAATCTACTAATCTCCCTTCCTAACTAAAACCCTGACATAAGATGGGATCTGTATATAATACTACGTATATATACCTCCAATTGAGGCATAAATGTAACCAAGTCTGAAGGTCTCCAATCTTCACGATATCAATCAAACTCTGTATTATGATCTGATTTCACTCGGGAAAGAATTTCAGCAAAGACTAAGAGGAAATAAAAAGACTATGGGATACATTGCGTTTAACACAGACATTGTCACCTAACAGGTTGGTAAAGCACACCTTTGTCAAGATTTCACCTACCTTCCTTCTCCATGTCACATACACCTACATCTGCATTAAGAAACACTTCCTTTCCTCAACTCATTGTCAAGACAATGCAGGAATGTTAAGAGAGTCCGCATTGAAAGATTCAAAAGACATGTACAAGTTTATAAGGCTAGACAAGACGTAAGTACTTAACAAACCAAACAAGAACCTAACATAACACTACAGATCAAACCAGACCAGACTCAAATAATATCAGACCATATCTGGGCATCTTGCCAGTTCAGAACATACCAAACTTACATGATAATAACATAAACATACCACTTCTAGCCACTTCTACACATACCAAACTTACGACTTCTACAAAAATTAGGCTAAAGGAGCAGCTCTAAGTACTTGATTGGATTCAATCTTTTATTGTGTTATGCATCCCATTATGAGTTTCTATTGTGTATATGTTGGACAATAAACTCGAGTAGTTCAAATTAAGTCTTTGGTTAAGCAAAATGTGCAGCCTTAGTAGTATCTTCTCTTAAACCTTCTAGCATAATACTTTTCCAAACTTAGCTTCTTCTCATTTATAAAACTACTAAATATTACTACAATATACACAATTGGAAGAGACTTCACCTGTGACTCATGAGCTCGATAGGATGCAGCAGAGAGCCCCACCAAATATATTCCAGGAAAAACATTCTGCAATGAAAAATTATGAGTATGTATTTAATGCAATGATGCATACAGATAATAATAATGAAAAGATGGTACAATAGAGAAAGGTGTTCCTCTCATGGAGTGTACATTGAGTAGCTTCTGCACATTTCTGGGTCGTTTCTTGGGCCTGCGGGCGGGTCTCGACCCGGTCAAGGAGTAAACGTCTTCCTCAATCTCCTCCTTCGACAGGGAGATCCATATCTTCTTATTATCCGGACAGTGATTCCCTTCCCCAACTTCCTGCATTTCACCATTCCTAAACGACGCCGCTACGCTCGCCTTTCTCGGTCTCAGATTCCACGTCCTCGTCTCTCCTTCCTCTGGGATCTCCACGACACCGTTTTGTTCCGCCTGCTGGGTTTCTGCCTCTTTTGCTTCGTTCGGGATCCGTGCACGGTGCTTTCCGGCGGAGCAAGGGGGCGATGAGAACAGGGAGTATGATCCGGTTGGAAGGAGCTCGGAGTCGGGGGGGCCGTCTTCGGCGGAAGAGTGGTGGTGGTTGACGTTTTCTTTGGGGGGGATCACTCGAGAGTCATTCATTGACCTGGAAGAGTCGCGGCGGCGGAAGCGGTGGTTGGAGGTAGAGTTGTGGCCCCAATTCAACTGGGGCAGATAGAAATTGTGGAGTAGCTGCGGCGATCTCTGCGGAGCTGTGGCCATTGTAGAGTATATACCAACCTTAAGATCTTATGCAGAAGCTTTTCTACGGCAGGTTAGGCATGGAGACGGCTGTCGAGAAAGCGAAGGAGTAAGGACTAAATGAACAAAGAGGAGGCGCAGGGTGGATATATGTGTGCACGCCTTCTAAATGAACAAAGAATTCATTTATGTAAGACCATTTCTAAGTGCAAATTATACATGTACATCCGGACGTACTGTTCACCCTATATCCGGGTATTTTTGTAATTAATTACAACTTCAATGGTAAAAGTCTTTCTTGTTGTGCTGCTCGTTGATGTCCTGGGAGTTGGAGACGTCGATCGATGCTGTTCACTTGGTCAAGTCTTGGAGTTCCGATGGATGTTATTCGCCCGCTGCTCTCCTGGAGTTCCGCTGAAGGAATAATAGAAAGAACACCAAAAGAACTCCCACTGGAGTTCCGGGAGTTGTCTACGCTGCTCAAAGTCTTGAATTGAGCTTCGTATTTTAGTTATGGAATCCCAAAAGACAAATTACAACTTCTAATTTAATATTGTATTTTAATATTATATTTTAACATTGTGTGTTAATATTTTACAACTTCATTTCGTAATTTATGTGTGCTAATTTGAAATTGGTGTAATACTCATTTTAAAATGACATATTCATGCATCTCTCAAACATATTATACTACATTAGATTCACATTAAAAATGAGTTTTATGTTAAATTTGAATGACTATAACGTCCAAAATGAATGAGCACACAAAAATGCGTTTTTAAATTTTTTTATACATATTTCGTAAGTTATGTATGCTCATTTGGTAGTAATGGTATGCTCATTTTAAAATGGCATATCAATAATGCATATTTTAAAATTATTATACTACATTAAATTCGTTGATGCTCAATAAAATAGGTCAGATGCTCATTAAAAGTACATTATTGCTCATTTAGCGGAAGCCGTCCGTTTTCGCTTAAATTACAAAATGCCACCGAATGTTTTTGGCCTGAATCAGTTACTGGGCTGTCTCCCTTAGTTGGGCTGGGTGTACGTACACCCGGATGTACCATATAGGCACCGATCCCACACCCAAGTAGGAGTAATAAATAGGAAGTAACAATTTTAAACCTTCACTACAACAACATATAGCTTTTGTAGCATACGCAAAATGTTGCAATAGGTGTAAAACATGTCGCAATATATCAAATGCGGCATTTTTAGCATGCTGCATCCGAGTGGTGTTACAATAGATGTATTGTAGCATTTTTATCATCTTGTTGTAACATTTTTTGGTACAATAATGTTACAATAGATACTATATTGTAGCAATTTATGTGATGCTACAAAATAGATGCTGCAATAAACACTTTTTGTGCTAGTGCTTTTCAATCAATAAATCTCTCATCCTTAACCTCGGGTTTAATGCACCAACCTTTGTGATATAGAAATTCGGCGCATTACCCTCTTGTGATTTAAAAAATGCATCAAACCCCCTGTGTTTTAATTAATTTTGTGCAAAATCCCTTCTATGAACAAATTAAATTGTCAAATAAAAGAAAAATGATTAACATTTTTGTATGATTTAGAGATTTTGACATATTTACTTGCATATTCAATCAAAATATTAGGAAAAGTGATTTCAAAATCATTAAATTCAGTCATAAAAGAGGTTTTGTGCATGATGAATTAAAACACAAGGGGGTTTATGGCATTTTTCAAATCACAATAGGCTAATGCGCTGAATTTCTATATCACGAGGGGGTTTGGCATGGGCAGAGATAGAGGGGGGCCAGTCTAGGCCCTCGCCCACCCCAAATTTAAAAAAAAGTCTTAGTTTTTAGTGTAAAAAATTTCCTGTAATTTTTTTCTCAAAACTATTCTTTGCATCGGCCCAGTCTGATCCGATGCCCTGGCTCCGCCCCTAGAGTTTGGTGCGTTAAACCCCTAACCTCTGAATCGTGTGCATGTATCTCAAGCTTTTTTGTCGATTGTCTTCCTCACTTTCAGAGTTCCAGTCATCCGCATAGAATCGCCGGAGTTGATAGAGGGAGAAGGCGAACCGGCAGAACTAAACTTCATGGCTGCTCCAAGCACCGAGATAGGAGGATTCAAGTGGCAAGGCTAAAATGGTTGTCATATCTGGATATTCTGTTACTAAAAAAATCCTCCACAATAGTTGCGTTATTCTCGGAGCCTCCAACTTTCTCCTTTCCCCTTTTTAACTCAAAGTTTTAATGATTGAATCAATTGAATGTTCAACTTTATATATTAATATTGAACACATTAGAAATGAGTTTTATATTAAATAGAAGAGGTCTGATGCTCACTGAAAATGTCTTGAAGCTCAAGTAACAAAAGTTACGATTTTCAAATCAATGCTCATTTTGTAAGCTACATATGCTCATTTGGTACTAATGTTACACTCATTTTAAAGTGTCATACAATACATATTTCAAAAGTATTACGAAGTACTACGTATATCATATTAGATTCACATATTGACATTCACAAAAGTTGATTATAGGTATAATTTAATAAAAATTTATAAAAGAAAATGAATTAGGAAATATGAAGTAGAGATCGCGATACTCATTATTAGGCTTCTAGTACTCAATTTGAAGAATATTAAGCATTTCATAAACAGAGTAATAAGCTTTGATCATCTTTAATCACGGCCGTTCAGATTTTCTCCTTTTCAATTTGAAGCCATAACTTCCTTAACCATGTTGTTGAATACTTATTTAACGTGAATAAAGTAATAAAATATTTTCTTAATAAACAATTGATTGCATTGGTTTTTGAGTGTTCATGCTTTTACTTTTAATTAGTTTTTATGGTGTGTTGTTGTAGTAATTTCACATATAAGGTGCAACCATTCAATTTCCTAGTTTGTCGTAATTTATTAGTTTTAGAGGATCTTGAGTTTGAATAAATTATTCTACAACAAAGGAGCAAGGAAGAGATTCTACGAGATGAAAGGAAGGTGCAAATGAGCAAAAATCATGCAAGAAATGTGATTTTGTGTCACACACAAACAAATATGATTTGATCCGGAGATATACAAGATTAAATCAAGCAAGAGAACATCGAAAAATCAGATTTGGTCATATACCCGATTGGGTAAATTTACATATACGATGAATATGATTAGATTTCAATACTTTCATAGCTACTATCCAGGATATATACCTGGTGGTGGGTCTCCTCAATACCCGGTAGGATATCCGACCCAACCTCACCAAAACACCTATAAATACACTCATTTTCCTTCCCGGTTTAAGATCCAATCTGCTATATTTTTTTATATTTCTTTCATGTTTAGCCTCCATACAAGAATAATATATTTGATTTTGCTATCCTGGGAGTTTGGACTTGTTAAATGTTAATGTTGTGAGTTATTTTCTTAAACATATCTTCTCGAATATTAATTATTCCCTTATTTAATATTAATATTGAGGTGTTGCTAAGTGACGACTAGTTAACACATTAACATTAATTACTACTAGAGGCGATCAATGAAACTGTGGTTAATCATTGATGGTTTCACATGTAAGTAACTTCTGGTTATTAATGCATGGTTTCATGATTAGTAATCGAAAGAGGAATTAATTGTGTTGGTTGAACTGAAATCGTTGTGTATGAGGTTATCAACCTAAATTGGTTTCATCAAAGAGTTAAGAAATTAAATGCTATTTTTAATACGATATATATATATATATATATATATATATATATATATATATATAGGGGAGGGTTCAAATACAAAGAAGTCTTCCCATGCAAAGTGAGAATTAATCTCGTGCATTCATTTCCAGATCTAATGGCTCAAAATGAGCCAAAAGTGAACTAAATTTGATCAAAAACGCGGTGGCAATTTCGTAATTAAAATAAAAAAAATTGCCACCGCGAAAAAGTGCAACAGAAATACGCAAAAGTGCAACGCGGTGATGAAAAAGTGCAACTGTTCGCACTTTGCACGGGAGAACCTCTTTTTATTTGATCTCTTCCCTATATAGATAAGAGATCAAATACAAACCATGCTTAAAATACTAACCTACAAACTCAATAATATGCATCACTTTGAACTTCAATATGCAGTAAAAATAATGTAAATATGCAGGGGTGGAATCACATACAAACTAGTCTTCTCATTCAAATAATCTTTACATTATTTGTATTGCACATTGAAGTTCAAAGTGTTTCATATTATTCAAGCCATAAAATAGCAGTTTCATATTTACATAATTTGTATTGCATATTGAAATTCAAAGAGTGCATCATTACATTATTTGTACTGCATATTGAAATTCAAAGTGTTGCATATTATTGAGTTTGTAGGTTAGTAAGTTAAGCATGGTTTGTATGTGATCTCACCCCTATATATATATATATATATATATATATATATATATATATATATATATATATATATAGTACTCTTCCGGTCAGGAGTTCCTGACCGGAACCGCCATCCGGACGGTGGCATTTGGTCTCTTCCCGGTGGAAGTTTTTGATGCAATTTTTATGGCATGTTCTTCATCAAGTTTAGTTTATCCACAAAAAATTTCAGCTAAAAGTTCAATCGGTAATGCCGGTAAATGATTTTTAGAAAATAACTACGCCCAAAATAAACATATAAAACGCAGTTAACTTCCAAAAATCATTTGACGGCCTTCCCGATTGAAATTTTAGCTAAATTATTTTCTGGATAAACTAGACGTGATGAAGAACATGACATAAAAATTTCATCAATAAATTCCAGCGGGAAGAGGCCGAAAACGCCGCCGTTTGGACGGCGGGTTCTCGTCCACAATTCCGGACATGAAGATTTGTGTGTGTACCGTGTATTTATGTGTGTGTATGTATGTATGTGTGTGTATGTATGTGTGCATGCATGCATGTGTGTATGTATGTATATGACGGTGTTTTATACTTGGCTAATAGTAAATGTTGTTAACGAACGGTCGCGTTATTAATAACTATCCTCGATAAATTGGAGATAGTTCAAGATTGAGATTCGAGAGGGGATATTTAAAGATATAAATGCGATCAACAAACATTTCAACAAATGGAAGATAGTAAAAACATATATTTATCATATTGATTTACAATCACATAATCGTTCATCTTAGTGTCATAATATTCTCAAGTT